CCCCAAAACCCCAAAACCCCAAAACCCCTAATAGCAGTCAACACATTGAAATGAATGAAACCTTAATAATGGCATTTAATGATGTCCTCACAACGAAAAAGAAGGCATTTGCAGTCAAATAGGAGCTATAAGAGTTAAGCCAAATAGAGAAACTATCCAGCGGAAATGAATCTATTGAATCGTGTTTTAACTCTCATCTTTCTCAAAATTACTCAAAATGAATTAAGTTTCAAACAAGCTTTGACTAATTCGTTCAAAATCGTTGAATGCGGTTGAAGCAATGGTGGATGAGCCACAAAGCAAAAATAGGCTTCGTGATTTCTTAAATATGCTCAATATTAGGACCAAAGTTTTAGCTCTGAAAGCTAGGCAAAATTGGACTAATTATCAATTACTATTTGAATTTTTTTTGGAATTTATCAATGTCTTCTGTTATGTTTAAATATTTAGAAAATAATTGCAGCAAAGATGATTATCTAACTTATGTATGTCAAATTCCTCCAATTTATGGTAACTGTTTCTTTACCTCCCTCATCTAAATTCTGAATATTCCAAACATATTAACAAGAGGTGACACTAACTATATTAAGCCTGCTAAATTTTGCAAGAATGAAAGCTAATGTTATTCTTGTATCATCTGTATGATTAGAGTTCTGATTTAGTGATTGCTAGGACCAGGCTAAACCTCAATGGTTGCACAAACTACTTCTTCAACTGATTCCCTTTGATGTGCATTCAAATATGTCAAAAGCTTCATGCCTAACCAAGATTTTACAAGGATTGGGAGTGAGCATATGGACTAAGATGAAGATCTGGGGTCAAAATATATGGCTGCCACAGCTAACTCTAAGTTAGACATAATTTAGTTTGATGAAAGTTTGAAACCAAAGCTTATTCTCAAGTAAATATTTTGAACTTATTACTGCATACCACTTTGCTATCTTTCTTGGTTTCTTCCTTGTCGTCTCTGCAATGTTTTCTAATATTATCACTTCTTCTTATTTCTCTGAGCGAATTGATCTTTGGCTTGTATCTATTAACGCCACATCAAACTTCTTGGCATCTTTCATCTTCCTTTTGTCTTTGTATTACTCTTCAGTAGGAAGTTTGTTCTGCTCTTAGAAACTATGAAGGGTTAAAATTGAAAGATTTAGGGTTTAATTTTAAAGTTTATGGGGTACGCTATCTCATTCTTCATTGTTGGATTAATCTTTATCAAATCTTCACGGTCTTTATCTTCCTTCAAAGCTCTTTAGTTTCTAACTGAATTGGCTAAGCTCTAGGTTTCATCATAATACACTGATGCTAAGATATCATAGAAGAATTTTTATCTGGCATCTGCTTCTCTGAAATCTCAGGCATGTATGTGGACAAATTGCCAATATGCTTAAATTGATGCCAATTTTTTGAGAATTAGTTCGCTGTATTCTAGAATTTCTAAATGAATGATTAAGCAATTTTTGAAAGCTCCAATAAGAGTAGTTAGTCATTAACTCCGCCTTAGCATCTTCTTTACTTTCTTTACTGAGAATAGAATTTGTTTCATAAAATAAACTTGGCAATTTTAATACAGATGAAGAATATACCTAACTAAATTGGTTTGAGAGAAGAGGTTTACCATTCACAACCATCTGTTTATACAAATCAGATTTAGATCTAAACTTGTTTCCAACCTTCCTTGGTTTATGTATGCTTTTGACATCTTGCTTTGCTTTTATGGTGAGTTTACTTGCAAACACTAATGCTAATAATCTTTACAAAGTTACTCGATGTTTTATAGATTTGCTCAAGAAGAATTCAAGAATTCTGATGTGTTCCCCAGATAAACCTAGAAATGTACCATTTTGACCTATGAGCATTACTTTTGAGTTGTCCACCAGAAAAGTGAAGATCTGCGGAGAAATTCATACATTGCTGAAAGAGTTATTTAATGAGAATTCGAGTCTTTGCCATTCAAAATCATTAGCTTATACTTAGGCTCAGCTTTTCTAGCTTTGATGAATTCCATAAAACTGCTGGATCTATGTTCTTCCTAAATCTCTTGAGTCTTCCTCAGAGATATCAGCCTCCACAATTGTTATACATGAAACTACCTTTGGTTCCATGATCTCTTTTAAATTTTGTCTAGATACTCGGAACGAGATACTCTCATATGCTCATGAATAGTGAGTAAGCTGGGGTATCCACTCCAAGTATCTGGCTATATTCTTGGTAATCCTTGATACTCACCGTTATATGGATACTACAATTGTGCATAGCAATTTATGTTCTTAGTCTTATTGGTGACAATCCATTTTTATTTGAGAAATATCTGCTATAAGAGATAACTGAATTTTATGTCATATATGAATCCTCAGAAGTCCATCATTCTCTCATATTTATCTTGGCTGAAAGCAACTGTGAAGTTCATTTAATTTCAAGAGAATCAAAGATTGCTAACCATCTTTTTGTCTTTGCCATCAGTTGTGCTGGCTATCAGTTTAACGGTTTATAGTAAATCTATCTACGTAAGTGATAACACATAATTTTCCTGAATGTAATCGAGGACTTCCATTAATTTTTCACCTCCACCTTAATGTCTCTGTCGTGGACTGTCATATCCTAAGTTTTGTAGCTCAGGCTTTACTCTTTAATCAAAATATTTTACACTAACCAGAGTGAAGATTTGTTTATTGTTGAAAGCAGTGCATTAGCTCATCTCTTGTATTTTCTAGGGTAAAATGAGACTTCAGTATTCTTCTTGTCTTCTTCTTCAGTCACACTATTTGATGCTTATTTAGAACTCTTGTTTTCACCTTTTATCCATGCAGAACAAAGCTTTTGTAGCTACTCAAGGTCTGGAATCTGTATATCACAGAATTTAATTTTGGAGAGAACTCTATTACGATCTTTCAGAAATTTGGACGATAGAATTACAAAGAGGCTTTAATAAAGAAGCTGGATTGGGTAAAAGTAGCTTCAAACTGTGAGAATATGTAAGTCAATAGGCACTTTAGAGCTAACCAAGAGTCCCAGACTATGTTAAATTTAAAAAGAGGACTAAGAAATACCTTTTTATTAAGGATTTTTGTAATTCTAGATTGTGCTCAGTCACCCTCTTTATAGAACTGGTGTTAGTTGGTACTTTTAGAGCCTTCATCGTCATCTTCGATGATCAATTGAAGGTTTTTCTTTGTGGAGAGAAATGAGTGAGGGATTTATATTGATTTGCTGGAATTGATTTATCACATTTAAGAGAGGATGACTATATATTTTATTGGTCTGTAAAACCATCAATTTTGCAGAGGCTGGATCCGTATCTGAACTAGAGCTGATTCTGGAATCATCAGAAATACATATAATATACTCCAAGATGTTTAACAGATATAATATCTAATTCTAATGTACCTAAATTTTACTGAGCTTTCAACAAATTTTTATAAAACTGGGGTTTTGGGGTTTTGGGGTTTTGGGG